ATTAGTTTTTCTCTCATTTTCTTATTTTTCCATATGTAATTTCAGGATTGGTTTTTACCCAGATTTATTTGACTGTTTTGAAGAAATATTTTTAGATTCATTTGTGGAATCACTCCGCACAGTTTAATAAACATACCTGCCCTTACATACAAAGTCTTATCAATTATTTCATTTTATTAAACATTTTCCATATTATTAATTTAACTTATTATTAATTTATGCATATCTATCTTTTATAGGTTTTCTTCTACCATCTCTTTCTCTATATATATCTCCCTCTCTCAAACACACTTGCTCACATATCATCATCTTTTCATTTTTAATATTTTTATTACACTTATAATGACTAGCATAGCTAAATCTAGAAATGTTCTGTTCTTTAAAATTCAGTATCTACTTTAACTGATACAAATATATGGTCAACACAACATTAGAGTGAACACACCATTTCTTCTTTGACATAGTAGGATTACCATGTTGCTTCCCTTGAAGATGGACATGGAATCAAATAATTTTTTTTTCAGATCCTTCAATTCTTATCCTGCAGACACTATCAATATCACATTGAGATCTCCCTTCCTCCCTCCCTCTCTCCCTCTCTCTTTCCAAATCTCATTCTCTCTCTTTTCCAATGCAAAGTAATTCAAAGCAATCTTAACTTTCTTTTAAACTGCCCATTTAGTATTAAAAATATGACAGCATAAAAATTACCAAGCAATAATTATTATTGTATGGATCATATAAAAGAACCTAAAATTATTTTTACAATTAGACACTTCATCTAGGACATATATTACCTATTACTGTTGCCAATCCTTGTCCATTTATTCATTTTTAATAGTAGTCCTGGATGACTCCAGTATATATATTTATGTGTATATATTCAGTATATACATTGAATATATATATATATATATTCTCAGGTTTTCGCGGGTGTTTGTATGTAGGTCTTTGGTTATTCGGGTCTTCTCCCACGTAAAATTGGAAGTGTCTTGGCGACGTTTTGACGAACTCTCATTCGTCATCTTCAGGCTGGTGTTCTCGGCTTCGTGCTTCCATATAATATATATATATATATATATATATATAAAACATTTTATTTTCTTGATACATCTCAAAATGTATCAGAACTAATCTAGAATCCTAACACATAAAATATCTTTGATTTCTGTGTTGATTAAATAGAACAAAGTATTATGCTGTGTTGAAAGCCCCTGTTTAAAAGAAGAGGATTTTATCTTAAAGGAGAAGGATTTATTTATTTATTTATTTTTAAAGACTTGTACCACCTAAGGACTGGAATAATTGATTTAGTTGCTGGAAAAGTATAAAGTGAAAGTTTTATGGGAGGGGGGGGGAAGAAAAAAATGGCTGGCTTTTTTGAAAGTGATGAAGGCTTACCACTATATAAATCAGTAAATACACAAATTCTGACTGTGGATCTCTTTAAAGAAATTTTAGAATCATTTACCTCCATGATAGTGGAAAGAATGGAAGGGTTTTTCAAGAAGGATTTTACTCAAACTTGCAACAAAGATACAAGAAAAGATACTGTATAGGTATTTCAGATGTCAAATAATAGTGAGTTGTTGAATGAAGAGGTGGGAGAAACAATCCAGTTCAATGTGCCTTTGGAAAATGGAATGGACGTTTTTCAAATTAAGAAGGAAAGGCTGAGAGATTTGAAGGAGTGTAACCAAGAAATACTGAGAGAGATTTCTCCAGAGGCTATGACACAGTTAACTGGAAAATTGTCACAACTTTTTTGTAAAAATGGACTCTCAATCGCAGTTAAAGAGGTGCGTTTACTGAAAGGAACTACTTTGCGAAGAGAACAAGATTTTAAAGTACAGCAATTTCAGCAAATTCAAGAACTTATACAAATAAAAGAAGGCGGAGGAATAAGACTGAAGAAGAAGGTTCGGAAAAAGTCAGGAAAAAATGGAGATGGAAAAATTATAACTCTCCTTGTTGGGGAGGATAGTAATAGTGAAAATGAATGACTGTACCTGTATTTAGGAATATGATTTGCTTTGAAAAGCTATATTATAGTGAAAATGAATGATTTACTTATATTTAGGGACATGATTTGTTCTGAAAAGTTATATTAAGTAATGCTATGTTTGAATTGTTATGGGCCACTGACCAAACTTTCACTTTTGTCTTGAAGTATATTTCAAGGAATGCTTTGTTGAAGAATTTATATAAGCTGATGGGTTAAAAGAAAAATATTGTGGATGTAAAAGTTATGGACAGTGTAGATCATTTAATATAAGTTTATGGGTTAGAAGAAGGATATTACTTAAACCTTTATACTTTGTTTTAAATTACATTAATGTTATATTGAAGAATTTTTTGTTGAAGAATAAATATAAATTTGTGGGTTATAAGGAAAATATAAGTGGTGCAAGGGTTGAGGGAAGGTTTTTACAATATTTTTTATAGATATTAAATAGTGAAGAGGGTATTTGACTACATGTAGTGGATTTGTAGAGAATAAGATGAATAAATTTATGTAAAGCTATTAAGTAAGGAATGTTTCCAGGAAGAATTAACGTAAGTGTATGGGATAAAAAGTAAAGATAAGGTTCTTACAATATATTTTATTTGAGATTGGTTAAAATATTTTGTTAATGTGTTAATATATGTAAGGGTTGGAAATGTGATGGTTAATTGTAATTGGGCTAATGTGTAATACTGGAAGAAAGAAGACTTGCTTATTATTGAGGAATGGACAAGAACGAAGGTGGATTGATTACTTTCAAGCAATAATTGGTTTAATTAGTTATATTTAGATTTGAACAAGGGGAGTTAAAGTGCAAGAGGGAGATAACTTTATAGATAGTTAGCCTATGTTATTTTTATGTTTGTTAAATGCTATATACCCTGTGTTGGCTCTGGGAAGTCCGGGGTGGGGGGAGGGTTGGGGCAGGAGGGGAGAGGAGGGAGGGAAAAATATGTGTAATTTTTTTTTTAAAAAAAAACTTTTTAATAAAAAAAATAGAACAAACTTACCTGTTGGGTTGCAGAGTTCCAAAGATTGACTGCTGATAAGCTGAATCAAGAAATAATAGGTAGCAAATAAAATATCTGTAATAACAGATATTGGGAAAACCCAATCAGTATTTGGCAAAAGAAAAAAGAAAAAAAAACCCAAGAAGAATGAGAATTTATAAGTCCCCTAAACCTATTGAATAGCATAATATCTATTTGATTAAATGACTGATAATGAAGAGACATTTCTCCTACATTTGTAACAAAAATAGATAAACATTTTTTTAAACAGTATCAAAATTTAAGGAGGAATCACATATACGCTGGAAGAAATGAAAGAATATATTTTCTCAACCTTGAAGTCTCCCACCCTCTTTCCATCAGGCTTTTAGAAGACTTACTGAGAAGCCAGTAGAGGATCATCAGGATGATTTTGCTATCGTTCAGCTGATGCAACTCTTTTTCTCTTCCACACCACTGTCCTTTCCCCAGACTCATGGAAGAACAAGAAATGAGAACCTCTGTAGCACGCTTGGCTACGTTCCCTCTCCAGTGTGCACACCCACATGTGACTACATCTAGGAGATAATCTATGCATTTATGCATTTTCTAGACTATGTATTATCTTGTGTGTGTGTGTGTGTGTGTGTGTGTGTGTGTGTGTGTGTGTGTTTTAAATACTTATATCTTTTGAGTTATTGCTGTTAGATATTTCTGAATTATCTTCTGAATCGTTGTGTAAGTGAAATGGACAATCTCTAAATTTGATACTTTATATAAAAAACAGGATAAATAATATAAAGCACAATGTTTGGGTTAAGCTTCTCTTAACCCAAACATTGTTATATGAATGTGCTATAGTTCCAAAAAGAGCAATATACTGTACTCTTATAAACTTTTAATACTTCAGTACTCGGAATTCACAAATATAGAATGTGTTTGAATAAAGATTACTTTTATTTCTTTCCCCATTATCCTTTTAAATTGCTTGGCTTTAAAAGCAAATTTGAGTTGTAAAGATTCAGCAACTGTCCTGGCTTCATTAAGAAATGTTATCATGGCAGTGAGTAGGTGAAAGAATGAGAGAGATCAGTATGGCCTCTAGCAGCTTGCTGGGTGATGTGGAAACATAAAAAAGCAATAGCAATAGTAATAGAACTTAGATTTATATACCGCTTCACAGTGTTTTATAGCCCTCTCTAAGCAGTTTGCAGTCAGCCTCTTGTCCCCAGCAATCTGGGTCCTCATTTTACCCACTTTGGAAAGGATGGAAGGCTGAGTCAACTTTGAGCCTGGTGAGATTCGATCTGTCAAACTGCTGGCAGCCAGTGATCAGCAGAAGCTCTATATCAATATTGCATTCAATGCAGCCATAATTTTACCTTCATCTCCTATGATACACTAATGCATTAATCCTTTCATGATTCATTGCTCAGAACAGAAGAAGCTAAAGCTTTTAAAATGTTAACTACTATACCAGTGGTGAAATCCTGCCAGTTCTGTCCAGCTTGCGCGAACTGGTAGCGGTGATGGAGTGTGGTTTGGTGAACCGGTAGCGGCGGCAGTGTGAGGCTCTGCCCACTCACCCATATGTCATTACTTCCTGGTTTTAACCTTCTGCGCATGTGCAGAAGCCTTTGTGCATGCGCAGAGGGTCAAAAATCAGACCTGATGAAGTGCACACACACTTCTGAACCGGTAGGAAACGTAAGTAGATTTCACCCTGTACAATACACCTTAACAGAAGTACTGAGAAATATCAGTATTTAGGATTATATTATTTCCTTTGTTTTAATCAGGAATTTAGGTATTCTTGAACATTTAGTTCTCCAAACTCAGTAATACAGAAAGAACAAAAGTGTTCCAGGAAGATGTTGCTACAAGCCATATATGATATGGTTAAATATTTTGAATATATTAATATAAACCTCAGAAGAAGAAAAGTAGAGTTTCTTAAAATAACTCTTGGACTAAACTAATTTTACTGGTGTCAATAATTGGGACAACTATGAGTTTAGTTTCCTCTCCTTGGAGGTAAATGAATGAAAGTTATTAAATTGCAGAATCTTCCTTTTTGAGTTGCAGGCCACAGCATATTGTCTTTCAAGGAGATCTAGAAGGGAACAATGGGAGAAATTTAGGGTAAAATTGGATTTGGTTTCATTTGTGGCATATAGGTCAAAATATTTCCAAACTGACCAACTGCTTATTACTAGTGAATTAGCTCTTTAGGGCACACATTCACCTAAACTGGTAAGCCACACCTTTTCTGCCTTCTTAAAAAGTGTTCTGCAAAACTCACAATTGACCAAGCCATAATGGGTGATAAATGTCAATTTTTCTCAGACTGTTTTATAATGACTAATATTTATGGAGGACAGCAATTAGAATGGAAAATGAGTAAACAATAAAGGTTTTAATTAATGGATGAGATGAAAATAGTAAATTAGATCTATTATATGTCTGGAAAAAAAATGATGCAGTAGATTTGAATGAAGGTGATCTAATGCTGTAAAAAGGCATTGATAAATATGGACAGGAAGTGAAAACTTAATTATAATTATGAATAAAATTGCCAAATAAACTAGAAAATATGATTTTTCATATTTTACCTTGGATATCAGGTAATGGTCACCTGACTACAATATAAAGAAAGACTCATTTTATGGGACTGTCAGTCTCATCTTCCTTCTGTTCTCTGTTGGTAAGCAGAATTTGGAAGGATTTCCATATCTTTACCATGTCCATAATAACAGATTTCTCCAATCGAAATACTACTCCTTCTGTCATTTCTGTCTGGTTTCTGTCTCTCTTTTGGTGATCAACAATTCCTTCCCTAAAGTGCTGCTGCCATAATCAGAATATGGACTAGGATATAGGTCCAAATTTAGGAGGTGGGACACTTCTGCTATTTCCTTAGATTTCTGTTTCTGGGTAACCCTTCCAATAAATCAGGGATCTGCACAGTGGTGGGATTCAAGTAATTTAACAACTGGTTCTTTGCCCTAATGATTTCTTTTAACAACCAGTTTGCCAAACTGCTCAGAAAGTTAACAACTGGTTCTCCCGAAGTGGTGCGAACTGGCTGAATCTCACCACTGGATCTGCAACCATAAACTCTCAAAGAGCCATTTGGACCCATTTCCCACAGAAAACACTGGGAGCCAATCATTTAACAACCAGTTTGACTGGGTGTGCATGGGCAATTTGACATCGCTCACTCCCAGTCACATGAACCCCCACCCAGCCATGCCTACCCAGCTGGACATTAGGGCAAAGAACCAGCTGTTAAATTATTGCCCCACCCAGCCCCGCCTCACCCCTCCCTTCCCAGCCACCTCTTGCCACACCCAGCCTTGGGTGTATTGTTCACCTCTCTCTCTCCCTGTCTGTCTCTCCCTCCCTCCCCCCCTCTCTCTGTCTCTGTCTGTCTGTCTCTTTCTGTCTCTCGCTCTGTGTGTCTGTCTCTCTCTCTTGCCAGAGGTGAGTGGGGCAGGGTTGCATTGTAGCTCCCCGTCATAATGGGCTCCAGGAGGAGGAGGGGACCCCATCTCCCCCATTGTGAAGCATGCTAAATTTCACTGTGCTGCGCAGGATGCTGAGAGAGCAGTGGGCAGGCCATGGAGGTGGCAACAGCTCTGAGCCCAAAGTGGTGGGAGGCGAGGGCTGCCTTGGGCACAAATTACTGTGATGAAGGTGGAATGCTGTTGCCGCGCAAAGGCAAGTACAGGGGTGTTTCACTCCCATTCTGGGATATTGAGTGAGTCTCCATCCCCCATCATCACCCTTACCTTCTCAGGCCAGGCAAGGAGTGACTAGGAGGGGAGGGGTAGAGTCAGCCAGTGGTGGGAACAGCCAACTGGGAGCCGCAGCAGAAGTCTGAAAGAGCCGCATGCAGCTCCAGAGCTGCGGGTTGCCGACCCCTGCAATAATTGATCATTGATGACCTAGTACTAAAAGGGATGCTGGAAGAATAGATGCATTTTTACAGTACCTGAAAGTTGTGAGTGTAAAGGTGACAAAATGTGCAATTATAGGAAGTGGCTATATAAATTTGGCAACCAACTTTCAGTTGGTCATGTAAAAAGGAGAAGCATTATCAAAAGCCTTGTGCCATCAAAAACAGCACTGAGGGATCCTTTCTGATGAGGATAGATTGCTGATAGGAGGGCATAGACATGTGGAGGTTTCACATTAAGGGCTGATGATTGGTTGATTGGTTGAACTTAGGCACTTCTGAACTTGAAAGCAAAACTTCAGAATTTAAAACATATAAAATATGATGAATAATATAAACTAAAACATCTTAATACAAGATTTGTATTTTTCTCTGCTAGCTAAGCAGCAAATTTTGGTATTTTTATGTGTTAACAATTTTGCTATTTTATCATATTCAGCTATTTGGGTGAGAAGACATGTATAAAGATGTAGGTCTGGAAGTATTCTTATTTTTAGTTATTGGTTGAAGCTGAAGTTTAAGCTGCGGTGAAGAAAAATAGATGTAACAAACAGAAAGGACGTGAATTGAGGTTCATGAATTATTTATGTTTCCTTTGGCTTGAACAAGTTTATAGGGGAAAGTGGGGGGAGAATGAATTTTAGCAAACAGGAAGTAATGTGACCAATGTTTTTAATCATTGATTTTTCCAATTAAAAAAACTTATTGCTATATTTTTATTTATTTTTAATAAAAAAGTTTTTATTTTCTGATCAAACAAGTATACAATATAAACAATCATTCAAACTATCATCAAGAAAAAGAAAAAGAAAATCAATCCTTGGTAAACTCAATCTTCAACCCCTCCTCACCATCCCCCACCCCCGACTTCCCAGAACAGAAAACAGGGCATAGGTTTCACCAAACATTCACTAAAATAAACTAGCTAACTGTAAGATTTAATAACTCCCAATACCCCTTAACTCCCCTTTTACAATTTCATCAACCTCCCTTTTTATAGACTCAAAGTAGCGTATAATCCAATAACTCTAAGAGTTTTAAAGCCATTAACAAATATTAAACATTCAAACCTTAAAAATTCTCTTAATATATCAGTAAAGTATTCAATTCATTTGCAAAAACATTTTTCCCCCTCCTACTTTTCTCAAAGTTCAGATATTTTAAAATCTCATAACAAAAAATAAACCTTAGATATTCAGTAGTTAAATTTCTACATTTTTTAAGGTTCCTAAATTTTCCCCCTTCATTATTCCTCCCTCCAACTTTTAGAATTTTAAAAGATAATCATCAATATAATTAACCATGAATACATAAACTAGGAAACCAAAAAGGATTAATCTTACATTCAACCATTAATGCATCATATTTAAAAATCAATATTTAACTTTATGCTTTTTCCCCCTCAGTAGTTATAACACCTAAAACATAATCATTTTTAACCATGAGTAGAACAACTGCAAAGCAAAAAGAAAAGGTTAATCTTCCATTCTTGCTTTCTTTTTATATTTTTTCCAGTCTTTCTGCATCCCTCCTACTTCTATTTTGAGGAGGTTTTTCATTTTAATTTGAGGTTGATGTAACTGCGAAGATTGTCCCCTTTTTAAGAAAATTTCCTCTGATTTAGAGCCCCCAAATCGCCTCTTCTTGCTTATATAAATCAGTTCATTCCTTCGTCTGTAGGACCAAAGTTTGTCAAGAGTTTGTGAAAAAAAGTTCAGTTGTTTCTTTTTTATTAAATGTGTAAATGCCACTGGCAAATCTCCTTCATCTTCTAAAACTTCGAAAGTCTGATCATTTACTACTTTTTTCCAAACCAAGTCGTAATTTTGAAAGATTCTATCAATTTTTTCAAAAAGAGCAGAGAATAAGCTCGAAAATTCTTGAGAAGATTCTTCCACCTTCTCTGCTGCAATCAGAATATCTCCTGAGTTGTCATCATGCTCCGTACTTATTTTTGTCTCCTCAGTCATTTCTGTTGTTATCCCTTTAAGAATTGCTATTTGATTACTTATAGCTGCAGTATGATTATTCATGGCTTCTTTTATAAATTCTGTAAATTCTGCATCAAAATCCTTATAGCTCTGTAAATCAGACAACTGTTCCATTTCTGACACCTCCAAATAGCTTCCAGCACTTTCAGGATCTTCTCTCTTAGAAGCCATTTTATTTTTAAAAAAGATTTTCTTTCTTCCCACAACCATAAAATCATAAAGTCAAAGCCATCTTTTTGAGCAGCTTTCAGCAATTTCTTTATAAATCACCAAACGAAATAATCTTTTCCCAAACCGCTCTTCAAAATCTATTCCAACAACTTAAAGCCAGTCTATGAGCACGAGTCTATTAGCGAAGACTTTCCTTTCTAACTTTCACTTTTAAAATCGCAACAAAGAAACGCCATCTTTACTTCCAGCTCAGAAAAACCAATTAGAAACATTGTATCCCCGGAGTTAAGTGTTATACTTGCAAAAAGCTTGTCCTCCTGCTTCTGTTCCGCCTGCTTTTTTGAAATCATTTAATCTTCTGTTTGACAGCAGAAATTGGACGCAACGCCTAGCTCTGTAAAAAAAACAGAGTACCCCCGGATCCGGAGCTTCAGTGGGCTGAACGGGGAGCTCTCACCCTCCTAACCCCTGGAATTAATCCAGGGGTTTTCGGGGAGCTCTACCCTCACCCACCTGCTCTCCTCCCCTTCTTTTCCCGAAGGGGAGATTTTCAAGCCGTTTGACAGCTGATTAACGCTGTCAGAACGGCTCAACGGGATCGCGGGGCGGCGGTCTAAAAAGACCGTCAATGGCGCTGCGGAGCTATATTGACTGTCTCCTGAATCTGTTCCCTTGCATTTCAGTCTATAGATTAAACCCATCCATTTCTTTTCTTTTAATTAAGAAATAAATGTCCAATATGTATTATATGTGATAATGAAAAAATGGCAAAATAGAGATGCATAGAACACCACTGATGTAATAGTGAAGCTACTCAGGTACAGGTAAGAGCCCTTATTAGACTGACTTTGGGGCAATAAGATCAGTAAAGCGAACATACTTCTCTGTTCTTATTACATTTGCAGATAGCCAACCAGCAGCCTGTTTAGGATGACCATGCCCCTTCTGGGCCACGAGGGATCAGCAGAGCCTTTGTGGGAATTGGTGTGAGGAATACTCTTGACATTTGTTGGATAGCATTTGTTGAATTGTTGTATGCTGTTAAAAGTCTTTTAAATTTGATTATAGATGATAGATAGATAGATAGATAGATAGATAGATAGATAGATAGATAGATAAATTCCACTTAGAGTTGGACACTGGATTGGCAGCCAATTGGGCACATCTGAGATCAGTTATCTAGAAAAAAATGAGTCAATTATTTGAGTCCTTAGGGCTGTGAGCTCTGTCATATATATTTTAGAGCAATGTCGCTTCTTGTTGCTTACAGACTTCTGGTAGGTGACACATAATTGGGACTAAGTGATTACATTGCATTGCATCGCATTCTGATCTGTATAACTGAATAGCTCTCATCTTTGCTCCTTTCTATAATTAGTACATTAGTAGAACATATTTATTTAGGACCATTTAATATTGCAATCAATAATTGTTAGCAATGCTGTAGTATTAAAATTTACAGAGGAAGAAAAAGATACAAAACACAGAAAGGTTATACTATTATAAAAGAATTGCTTTATTCAACTGTTGTAATCAAATATTCTATAACTTTAAGGTTATAACAACTGACTGGATTATAACAAACTTATTTCTACATTTCATAGTAAAACTGATGTATTAATAATCTAAGAATAAGATCACTGAATGTTATAAAATAGAACACGTATTACCTTATTTTTACCACAAGAATTATAGTGTTAAAATTGTAAATGCTGTCACAGAAAATGCATTCCATTATTTGTTCATTAGAGAGATTTTATCATCAGTCTCAATTTGTATCTCTGATTCTTTAATAAGTACAGTAAAAAGAATGTCTAAACTAAAATCTGCTCTAAATGTTTATTTTATTACCTTCCACTATTTTCTCCTCTTGAAACAATGATGGGATTAGTGTTGCATTATCAAATTCTGTTATTAAAGACCTTGTCAAGAAGAAAGGATACAATTTCTCAGAAGCAACATTAAGAAAAGTGTAGAGTTTATGTATCCTATGAGTATCATAAAAAGAAATTTCATGACTTTTCAAATTTAGGAATATCCCTATCCTTGTTGGTTTTCTTGGCACGTTCAGAATTGTGCAGGGGTCTGAAGAAGCCCAGTAATTATTCCTATTATCAAGACCTATGACCCAGTAGCCATTCTGAGGAGACAATGTGATCTCCCCTGTTCTAGGAGCAGATTCAGATGCAACACCTACATCCCACACATTTTTTTGGCCAACCTCCACTTCCCAATAATATTTGCATTCAGAAAAACTTCTTTTTTCCAAGACAAATGTATGGGACTCAAATCTCTCTTTACTGTTAGAAACATGACGAATATTTCCAGTGTCTCTCATATTTTCCCCATCTTCATAAACTTCCAGTCTTTTGGGGTCCAAGAAAAGATTAACTAAAAAGAAAAGAAAATGTCATATCTCATAACCCTCATAATTTTTACATTCTGGAGATATGGCTATGTATGAATGAATATATCACTGTGCAGTACTTCACTAATCATTCAGAAAATTATTCTTGGCATGAAATTGCTTAATGAATTGTAGACAAGGCCCATCTTCATACTGCTATGCACCCTAAAACATTTTCCTGAATAGTTTCAAAAGGATCTCATTGCTGCAATATACAGTATGAATATCTCAGGATCAAAATCTATACTCTACTGGTACTGGTTGAGTGAATTTTAAATGTAACTGATGCAATGATATGTCTATACCTACAAATATCAGAACAGTTGAAGCAATTATACTTTTTGTAACATTTTATGGAAGAAAAAATCAAGAAGCAGGAAATAAATAATATTTCATAACTCCAGCTGGTTCCTCAGGAAGGTAAAACTCTTGACTCCATTGAATCGAATCAAAAGAACTTTTACTGAGAGAAAGTGGATGCAGTAAAGCCAGGCAAAATTTGAGAACCCTGTGCAAAGCTCAAAGCCAAAAAAGTAAACCAATTGATCAGTGAACAAATCAACTCAGAGTTCTCATGAGTTACAAATACCAGGTGCAAATTATCCTATTTTGCACACATTATCTGTAGCTCTGACTATAATGCTTATATATAATGCTATAAAGCCACAAGGTGGTTACAGTGGTGAAGGGCATGCCTTTGAAAGACCTAAAAACCAGGTTAGGGAGAGATCATCATGGAGAAAATAACTCTCTATCTTGACTCTTATAAAGAGAGATATAAACAATATTCCCATCATATCAGATTCAACAGAGCTGTGAAATGGTCTCCTCCATTGATTGCGTTTGTTTGCAACCCAAAACTGTAAAGCACTTCAATACTATTTTACCAGTCAAAAATTGGAAATACATAAAAAATGGAGATGCTGAGTTTGTTTGAAGTATTTGCAGTGCCTGATAGTTTTAGCCATTGATGAATAGTTAGAAAATAAAATAAGTTCATGTATTAGACTTATCCCTTTTTTTATACAGCTTTTCTGAAATTAAAACAGTTTTTTTTCTTGGTCGAGACAGGAATAAACTACTTTTTAAAACTTAGCCATTTTTAGAATAAACCAATTGGGACATTTCCATATAAAGAACCTTCCAATGTGCCAAATATCTGACTTTAGAATTAAAGAAGCATTGGCTGAGGAGTTCTCATGATTATCAGATTTGCCAGAACATCTGCACTTTACAGTCATGGGTATATTTATTGTTTCTAAGCCCAGGGCTCTTAAAGAACTGAACACCAGTCAGCAACTGCTCTTTCTTATTAGCAGATGAGCATAGAAAAAAGAGGGCTGTCTATCAATTGGTCCTCATTTTTTCAGTAGGCAAGGCTGCCTCTCTCTGTTCTTTGAGTGACATTTTGGAAAGAAACTTTCTTTTCAGGCTAGAAACCAGGAGACCGTGAGTTCTAATCCTGCCTTAGGCATGAAAGCTGGATGGATGACTTTGAACTTCTCTCAGCCTTACCCACTTCAAAGGGTTGATGGGGGGGGATATGATGAATAAGGAGTATTGGGTATATTCACTGCCTCAAGTTATTAGTAAAATATAATAAAGGTGAGATATTATTATCATCAGCATCAGCAGCATCATATCAGACGGTCTACAAAAATGGTTTTTCAATTGAAAGAAAGGTCCTGGTAGGGAAAGCAATAATTTTGTATGAAGCCAGTCCATAATAAGTACTTGGAATAGAGAAGATGGTTGGTTTAAAGTATGTACAGTGCCTGATATGTTTAGAGATTAGTGAATACGTACAAAGCAAAAGAAGTTCAAATAATGGACTTACCGGTACCCTTTTCTTTTTTCAGCTTTTCTGGAATTGAAGCAGAATATATTTTTTCAGTAAAGATAAGAATATTTTAAAAAGAAAAACCATTGGGTCCAGTCCTAGATAAATGATTAAGACTCTTCCATACAGGGGTGAAATCTAAATTTTTTTGCTACCGGTTCTGTGGGTGTGGCTTAATTAGTGGGTGGGGCTTGGTGGTAAGGTGACTGGGAAGGCATGGCTTGTTGGTCAGGTGGGCGTGGCCAAGTCAATGTCACTTCTTTGCCCTTTTTAAACCTACAAAACAAAACACAACACAACACAACTGGCTCTCCCACAATGTAAAAGCAGCTGTGCTAGACCCAAAATGGCCTCTGCAACAAGCAGAAACCTCACACAGCTGCAAAAAGCCCAAAAAACCAACTTTCACACTTCACACACATAAAATTCCACATACAGCTTTGTGAAATTTTGTGTGTTTGTGTAGTTAGAGTGAAACACTATAGAAACACACTAAATCTCAGAAAACTGCACAAATATTATTTTATTTTAATTTATTTTTATTTTTATATAAAAGCAGCTAAATTTAAAACTTTCTAAACTTTAAATGGCTAGGTCTAAAAAAAGAACAACTATAAAAAACCCCAATTAACTATTTTTTTAAAGCTTCCAAAGGGGAAAAAAACTTACCCAATAGAACAGGGGTCGCCAACCTTGGCAACTTTAAGACTTGTAGACTTCAACTCCCAGAATTCCTCAGCCAGCTTTGCTTTGCTGGCTGAGGAATTCTGGGAGTTGAAGTCCACAACTCCCTGCCTGCTTGATTGCAGGCAGGGAAATTCAGTTGCTTGCTGATGCAATGGATTGCAGGGATTACAGCAAGGTGTTGCAACCAGCAGCTAAGGTTAGCAAGCTGAGGGGTGGAGTGGGAGGGATTTTTGCTACCAATTAGCAGGCAACTCAGCTGAGATCGTCAGAGCTTGGATCGTCAGAGCCATTTAAAAGGAAAAAAAGGCTCTGATAGTTGCGCGGCTCAGCTGGGCATGGGGGGGGGCAGGGACTTTTGCTACTGGTTCTCCGAACTGCCTGCCGCCATCGCTACCTACTCGCCCGAGCCGGTCCGAACCAGGAGCATTTCATCCCTGCTTCCATATAAACTCTATAAGCTCTTTCTGACCCATAGATAAACAAAGAAGATGGGCGTCAATCAACTGGTTAGTATTTGCTCAGCAGGGAAGGCTGCTTTGCCCTGTTCTTTGAGTGACATTTTAAAAAGTAGTTTTCCATCTCCATATAAATAATTAAGAAAAAATATTGGAGAAATTTCAGTACTTTGAGTGGAAGATCGTAAGATCCTTAGATATTTATGTACTTGAAGCCTTGACATCAGCCATCATGACAGACTCAGAAGAGCTATGAACAATCAAATCAGATTCTCCTCCATTGATTAGACACCCTGGCAACCCAAAACTACAAAGCATTACAATATTCTTCAGTCTGTCCTAAAAATTGTAGTTCTTGATTTGAAAGAAAAGTAAAGCTATGGAGCACAACAACTTAGAATGAAGCCAATCCATATATAGTTCTTCTAGAAGATATAGTACATATGGAACAGAGAGGCTGAGCTGGTTTGAATTATTTACAATGCCTGATACTTGTAGCCATTGGTGAATACTGAGAAAATGAAAGAGCTTCATATATTAGAATTATTCTTTTCTTTATTCAGCTTTTCTGAAATTGAAGGAGAATATATATTTTGCAGTGGAGACAATACAGGTAGTGCTCAATTTACAACTATTCATTTAATGAGTATTCAAAGTTACAACAGCAATGAAAAAAGTGACATGACAGTTTTTCAGTTACCACCTTTCCAGCATCTCCATGATCATGTGATCAAAATTCAGATGCTTTGCAAATGATTCATATTTATGACTGTTGCCATGTCCCAAGGTGATGTGATCACTTTTTGTGACCTGACATGCAAAGTCGATAGAGAAGCCAGATTCACTTAACAACTGGGTTATTAACTTATCAACTGAGGCAAGAAAGGTCATAAAATGGGGCAAAAGTCATTTAACAAATGTTTTGCTTAACAATAGAAATGTTGAGTTCAATTGTAGACATAAATTGAGGACTACCTGTAATACATTGTTTTCTAAACATAGTTGTCAGTCCTAGAAAAAGCAGATTGGGCACTTCCATATAAAAAGCCTTCCAATATGCTATGTGCCAAACACCTAATTTTACAATTAAATAGAAGAAAAATTTCCTGGGAGGTTTTGATGATTATTCAATTTAACAGAATACTTTACATTCATGGATGTGTTTATTGTTTTCACGCCCAATGCTCATAGAGAACTAAACACTAATCAGCAGCCACTCTTTCTGATCAGCAGATGAGCACAGAAGAGAGATGTCAGTCAATTTGTCCTCATTTACTCAGTAGGGAAGGCTGCCTTGCCTTGTCCTCAACTTTATTCCCATATTCTATTACACTCACATTGTTACAACTCAAACTGCAGAAAAAGTAAAAATTGAACAGTTCTATATGACTTAGAGCACCTTGTAAATAATTAAATTACATTCTAATATAAAAATGATAATGCAAAAATACTTTATATGAATTATTGCACTTATCTCACATGATAATCAAATAATACTCAAGATTCTACAATCAAGAGTTCAACAATGCATTGAATGAAAAATACAAAAAATAGAAACTATATTCAGAAAATGAAGCAGCAATTGAGATTACAATGGGATTATTGATTTTACAAAAATAGATGATAACATATTGAATAGCCCTTATGAAACAGCTATGCTATAATAGGATCAGGAAATAACACTTGAAAAAAAAACATTTCAGTGTTTCTGTCTTGATGTTTTCACTTCATTTCCTTGAAGATGGCAGCAGGAACTACCAAGGAAATTATTCTAGAGAAGAAGTTAGATCCAGAGCAAGAATACCCAGAGGATTTCTGTGAGAGGAGGTGTGATACCTAAGGACTTCTGCTGTAAGCATTAACCCTTCAAAGTAGTTCAGGAAAGAAGCATAACTCTCCCTTCCTTCCTTCCTTCCTTCCTTCCTTCCTTCCTTCCTTCCTTCCTTCCTTCCTTCCTCCTTCCTTTTCTTTCTTTCTTTCTTTCTTTTTCTTTCTTTCTTTCTTTCTTTCTTTCTTTCTTTCTTTCTTTCTTTCTTTCTCTTTTCTCAAGTCTGAGTGGCTTACATCAAGATAAAAAAACATATGGCACTACTCCCAAGATGGTATACTGAGTGATGAGAGACTCTTTTTCTTTAGCCAACAAACACTTTTTTTTGCCACCAATTTGGTTATTTGGTAACTTGCTCCCTGTTTTTTTTTAGAAAGGAAGACTAGGAAGAACTCAAGACAACATTTTGTAGATTGTGTATCTATAAAGAGGTGGGATCTAGAAGACCACAGTTCTTGATAAGGTGCGGTTGGAATATCAGGTCTCTTACCATCTTTTCTCTTCAGCTGTTTGTTTTTTGTAAGTACGCCTGGGTTTAATTGCACTTTTAAAGCTTTTCTATGTTCTGATTTATCACCAGTTGACTGCTAACCTATTTCATAACACCATGCTGGATTTTTACAATTTTTTTGTTTGTTTCTCACTGTTTACCATTGAATTCTAAATCACTTTCGCTTTTGCCATCAGAAAGTCAGTGGTGAAAATATATTCCCATGAGTGGAAAGTCATCCAATTGGACTTACATTTATACTATATTACAAATGTTGTTCTTTCTTTAAAAAAAAAAAAGAGAGAAAGAGCTCTGATCTATATTTTTAACTTCTGATGGGAAAATTCCCTTTCTTTTAATCACTTTCTATTTTTGAAAAATAAATTATCTCAATTCTTCTCTATGGATATTTTATTTCTTGTCTTTGGAATGAATAGTGTGTCTTCACAATGTTCCTAAAAGAGATAAAGCTTTCTTTAAAAAGAATGCTCTCTAACTTACAGTTTTTTTTAAAAAAAAATATAAATAATTAATTCGTTGTCAGCAGCTTTGAATCAAACCAGGAATATATCCCAAAGCAGGAAATAGCATTTGGAATTGATTTGCAATTTGATGAATTGGAATTTGGGTTGTTACTGAGAGTCGAGCTGCTGTGAAGAAGTTAGTTTACTTTATTGTCATTGCACCTCGTACAACGAAATTAAAGAAAGAACCTGGTCTGAAAATTACAAATTTTCCAGAGAAGATTTAAAAGAATATGAACATAAGAAATTCTGAGATAATGGAATTGATGAATGATGGACTAGACTTTCTTGGGTTTTGGAGCTTCAAACATTTTGAAACTGTGTGACTGTTCAGTGGCTGTGAAAGTGCTTGATGTGGCACAACATGTTTTTGGATTGTCATGCTGATTTTTTTTGGGGGGGGGCATGATTTTGGGATTAATTTATGGAAGATTTTTCAGGAGCCCATGGAGTTGTGTATGCTAAGTTTGGTGATAGTCAACTGAATATTGGTTGTATTTCTCCCCTGGATGAGTTTTGGGGAATTGGGGGATTGGCTTTCTACTTGGTGATGAGAGGCGAGTTGAATGTGAATGGAGTGTATTTATTGTGGCTATGGAGGGGCTGTTTGATGTCCACTATCTGTTGTTGAGGTTGAGGTTGGTGGCTTGAGGGTGCTATATCACCTGTTGGATTTTCCTTCTTTTTTAGCTGAAGGGAGTTAGTTGGAGACGGTTTCTGTTTTGGACCCACAAAGATGTTTTGAGGATGAGAGACAGAATTAGACTAGAAGAAAGACAAGCTACTGGATCAAAAAGTAGTGTCAAGATTTTTCTATATTAGATTTACTGTATATGCAGAAAGGTATTTGTTAGGCTGTTTTTTTCTTTTTTCTTTATGACACCAAGGCAAAGAAAGAAGTCTCTTTGTTTTATGTTCACTACAAAAATTTGGTCAGGTAGAGTGGGCCAGTAGAGAATGGGTCATGGCTCAGAGTCATTCAGTGAGTTTCTATGAGTGAAGTTAAATCTAAACCTGGATCTGCTACCTTGTTTCCCCGAAAATAAGACCCTGTGTTATTTTTTTTATTTTTTTTTTTGAACCATGAAATAAGCGCTTGGCCTTATTTTCAGGGAGATCTTATTATTTTGGGGCATATGAAGGAAACCAGAGGAAATGGCAGGGACTGGCTGCGCATGCATTTACATATTTTTGGGGAGGGATTATTTTCAGGGGGGCTTATTTTAGTGCACATGCTCAAAAGCCCGATTGGGCTTATTATCAGGGGATGTCTTACTTTAGGGGAAACAGGGTACTTATATGCCATTTTAAAAAAATATTGAGCACTATTTTGGATTATTTTATTTAATTCACAAATATGCTATTATTCTTACATAAGTAACCAACATGTCATATTTCTATTAGAAACCAAATATCAGGTAAAGTATTTGATCACATGCCTATTGTGTTTTATTCAGGATAATAAATAGGATAGGGAGGATAGGGAGTTAGAACAGAGGTATGCTCTTTTCTGTATTATGGCTTCTGCTTATTCTGAAAGAAAATATCAGGCTTAGTACATCTAATACTTACCTTACTCTGCAAAACATAAAGCAGACAGAAAATAAACTCATCATAATTATTAAAGAATTTTAAACAATAATATTATAGACATATGCTAATCTGTATAATATGGGAATGATATATTGTTATACTCATAACATAGTGAATATATTTAAATAAGAAGCAAAACAATAATTATAATTCTTTCATTTCTTTAATCTAGCTGGAACTTACCTTCAAGCAGTTTTACATGATTTTCTAATTTTTTCACGTAAGCCTTTACCTGTTTTCCTGAAAGAAGAAGTACAACATTCACTACATAAATATGTATAGAGATGCAGAATTCCTAGACATTTTCAAGAATTAATTTTGGTTTGGCTTGTAATTTTCTTTCCTTTTTTTTTTTTTTTTGAAAAAATGGAATTGTGAGAGGGGGATGGCTATACTGTATTAGTACCAGTAGTACTTTTAACATTTATTAGGAACTAGCTGGATACCCATGCTCTGCTACAAAACTATGTGATCGGGCTTGATAAATCAATACAGCTTGAAAATTAATGAGTAGTTACAATTGGTCTCTTCTCTCCCTTTCTCTCCCTCAGGCTTGCCCCATTGAAGCCACTCCTATCCTATTTCCTTCTCTCCCACAGGCTGGCCCCATTGATCCTTTCCTATCCCCTTCTCTCCCACAGGCTTGCCCCATTGAAGCCACTCCTCTCTTCTCCCCTCTCTCCCTCAGGCTGGCCCCATTGATCCTCTCCTATCCCCTTCTCACGGGCTTGCCCCACAGAGGCCTCTCCTATCTTATCCCCTTCTCTCCTTTTCAGGTGGGGAGTAGAATGTCTAAACTCTCAACCCACAGGCTGGATAAGTCACATACTGGCCATGCCCATGACAGAGTTCTTTTCAGGTGGGGAGGGGGAGTAGAACGTCTAACTCCTTAGCATCAGAACATGTTAATAATAATATAAGAAATACTAATGATCTGATGGTCATTTTGAAAATCCTTTCTTAGCAAGCACCTAAAAGCCAAGAGAAACATATGTGCCAAATTTCAAGTTTGTAGGCTTTATGGTTCTGGAGATTTCGTGATGATGCATGAGTGGTATTTCGCATATATATATATATATATATGTGTGTGTGTGTGTGTGTGTGTGTGTGTGTGTGTATGTATGTATGTATATATATATTTGTTTCCATTTCTATACCGCCCTTCTCCAAATAGGACTCAGGGCGGTGAACAGCCAAAGTAAAAAACAGAGCATACAAAATTTAAAAAACAGTATTAAAATAATTAAATATTTTGGCCATAAATTAAAACAACCCAATTTAAAATCAATTTAAAATTTAATTCAAGCCAGCCCAGCTGGTTGAAATAAATAGGTTTTCAGGGCCCGACGAAAAATCCGGAGGTCTGTTATTGTACGTAACTCTGGGGGGAGGTTGTTCCAGAGGGTGGGCGCCGTCACAGAGAAGGCTCTCCCCCTGGGGGTCGCCAGCCAACATTGTCTTGCGGACGGCACCCTGAGGAGGCCCACTCTGTGCGAGCGTACTGGCCGGTGGGAGGCTATTGGTGGCAGAAGGCGGTCTCGTAAGTACCCCAGTCCTAAGCCATGGAGCGCTTTAAAGGTGGTCACCAACACCTTGAAGTGCACCCGGAAGACCACCGGGAGCCAGTGCAGCTTGCGCAGGAGAGGTGTCACATGGGAGCACCTCATCACCCCCATAAACCCCCGTGCGGCCACGTTCTGGACCAGCTGGAGCCTCCGGGTGCACCCCAGGGGGAGCCCCATGTAGAGAGCGTTGCAGTAGTCCAGGCGGGAAGCGACTAGTGCCTGAGTGACTGTGCGTAGAGAGTCCCGATCTAGAAAGGGGCGCAGCTGGCGTATCAGGCGAACCTGATAAAAAGCCCCCCTGGCCACGGCCGTCAAATGATCTTCTAAAGACAGCCGTGCATCCAGGAGGACGCCCAAGTTACGAGCCCTCTCCGTGGGGGCGAGTGATTCGCCCCCAATAGCCAGCGATGGCATCAGCTGGCTATATCAGGACGCTGGAAGCCACAGCCACTCGGTCTTGGAGGGATTGAGTCAGAGCCTGTTTCTCCCCATCCAGGCCCACATATATATATATATTTATTTATTTATAGATATAGATATAAAGTTACATGCATTACATATAATTGAATTTGCTAACAAATTCTTATCCTTCGTATCCTTAAAGAAGAATTAAAATCTAGTGATTATATTTATTTTAATTTTTTGTTTACTCTAATAGCTTTGTATTCATTTCAATATTGTTTTAAATCATATTGTAAAAATACTTTTACTACAATACTTTTGTAACGGCACTCCAATTTGCACCAAAACTATAGGAACACTAATAAATGTTGTAGTCTGAATATTATTCTCAAAAGATTTGCACATATATACAAATTACTAAATTTCAAAAACTCCTGAGAAAAGCCAAGGTTCACAATAAATATTGCCATGTGAAACATTGTCTAGTCAGCAACAGCAAAAAATGGGGGCAATAGTAACTACAAAAATAGCAAAATGCCAAGAGGGAAAAAAGATAAAACAGTGGGGAGGGGGGTTGCTACCTTTTCCCTGCTTTCATTCCAGGATGTATCATCTTTCTTTGCTTCTAATTGAGCAGCAGTAATGTGTGATTTTTGTAATAAAGAGTACCTGAACAAAATAATCATGGATTTATGAATGGAATGTAGTATTTCAAAGCTTACATTGGTGGCTAGCTTGTGGACAGATCCAGCTTTGTGGATTTGTGCTAGAGTTATTCCCGAACTGAGCTGGGAACTTGTTGGGGAGTTGCCTTGTTGCTGGACTGGGGATTTTCTGGGGAAGACTTTTGGAGGGGTTTGGAAAGCCTCAATAAACCACTTGAATTCTCCAAGGTGTGCATGCATATGAGCTGGAGCAGGACAATGTATGTTAAAAGCAGGCATTCTATTCTGAATCAGAATCAAAGAGTGTGAAACTATTCCTTGTCCATCATAAATCCAGGGCTTTGTGTTGGTCCTTCCATTAAGTTGTTTCTTCTTTGGGTTTATAATAATATAATAATGACAAAAGTATCCACAATATTGAAGGAAGCTTCCTTTTCACTATTACAAAGTATAGCACCAAAAACTGATCATGGAAACCAATTAAGAATTGCATGACAGTAAAAAGCAGAGATTTTTGAGATTACCCTTCTATAAATCTTATCCTGTTGACATAATTGGCAGATGAAGACTGAATAGAAGCTTATATATCTAGAAAATTTGTTTTCTTATATAGCAGCTATAACTATATCCTGTGATACTACTTACTATCTACCTGGTTAGCCATAACCCCAACTCTGATCTCACTTCAGTTCTATTCGGTGTTCCTTGTTTTATCTACAAACCTGCCTGAATTCATCAGAGTTTATTATACAGGAGGAATATATACATTACCTTTTCTATTTGAATGGCAAATGCTTAAAGTTATTGGAATAAAAAAAACGACAACTGGTATGCAAAATAAATAAAAAATGATGTACAGGTAAGTTGAAATTGATGAATTGCCTGAAAAATAGATGATAAGGAATAGGTCAAATCTGAGCAAAATATTTCTAGACTTTGTCCCTGAGCTGTTCCTGTTCCAAGTCACAAGAACTTATCAATTTTTAAGTTTCCTTGTGTTTTATTTGGATGAAAACTGTATTTTCTCCCACATGATCTAAAACAAAATACTCAGGCATATTTTTATTGATGGCCCCAAACAACTGGTACTAAATTATAATAATATAATATAATTTATAATAATATAAAGAAAAATATAATGAAATATGGGCAAATTCCATGGAACTTTGGTCTTGTCAGTTGTGGATCATGTGAAACTATAGCTTCATGCCAGCCTATAAAATCATATTACTAATCTTTTTAAAAATCCAGAGAAACTGGAACAAGTTTAGAAAAGGACAAGAAGGATAATCAGAGAACTGGAACCTAAATCTTGCAAGTGGACTTGGGGAATGTTTTGCCTTGAGAAATGAGGAGTAAAATATAGCAGTAGTATTTTCAGTACCTCAAGATGTGTAACAGAACATTTTCCAATTATTTGCTCTCTATCACATTAAAGTGCAGGATTTATTATAAGATTCCGGGATTACAAAAAAAGCAGTGTGTGGTTAAATGCTAGGAAAAGACATCCTAACATTAAGAGCAGGTTAATAGAGGTCCAAATCCCTAAAAAGATTCTGTACTTCCCTTTTATTGCATGTTTCAATCAGAAACAGAAACAGCTGTCTAGCTAGCATGATTTAATTTTCATTCTTTTCCTTAATAGAAATACCCCATTCCAGAAATGATTCTGTTTCTGACTATCCTAATTTTGTATAATTTACAGATATCCTAGCTAATCAATCATATAATTTGAGGGAAAATTGATGGTTAAAATGTCTCTTCGGCTACATATACATAGCAATTTCTGTACAATATGATATTCATAATTACCTAAAGTAGAGAGTTCTAAGGAAATCCTTTTTCCCCCTTATCTGGGCTGTTTCTTCAAGAGGCAAATGTAAGATGCTGAATTTCAAAATGCTAGCTTTCCTTGACATTTTTTTTCTTTTTTGTTGAACAATTGAGAGATATTTATGTTTTTCCCCTCATTGTTCTAGAACATTTTTCCTTAATATACAATATGTAGTAATTGCTTGTTTCCCTAATTTAGGAAACACTGTTTTTAGAATAATAGCTACAATTTCAAACAGAATTACTTAAGGATTCTAAAGGCTCCATGGTATTTAGGAGAGCTGAGGGGAATACAAGTACTGGTAATCCTCAATTTACCACCACAGTGGAGCCCAAATTTTTTATTGTTAACATTTGTTAAGTGAGTTAACATTTGTTAAGTGCCCCATTTTATGATCTTTCTTGCCAAAGTTGTTAAGTGGATCACTGCAGCTGTTAAGTTAGTAGCATTGATAAGTGAAACTGGCTTCCCCATTGACTTTGCTTGTCAGAAGGTTATCACATAACCCTGGGACACTGCAACCATCATAAATATCTGGATATTGCTCACATGACCATGGGGATGCTGCAACAGTTGTAAGTGTGAAAAATGTTCATAGGTGTAACTTAAAAAAGTCACTAAATTAACTGTTGCAAGTTGAGGGCTACCTGCATTATTAGAATGAGAGATTTGGGGCAATAGCTGTGCCTCCTGGATACTATTTGGATGTACATGTTTCAAACTTCTCTTCTAAACTAGCAAGCAGATCAACTATGATTGCTGAAAATTTATCCAGAGAACAGAAATTTGTATTTTTTCAAAGGCAGAGTTCCCTTCACATTTGGCTACTTAAATTCAGCTACTAATTACCTATTAATTCAGCTACTAATGATTTTATTTTATTATAATGAATACTACCTGTATTGTCAATATGAAGAAATATTTGATTCTGATTAGCCCAGTCAGTTGAGTTGACAAAGCAACTGTAGCTTCCTTCATCAGACATCTGAACATTTTTCAGCTTTAAGGAGAAATTTCCAGTGTCCAATCCTTCATTAAAAACAACTATTCTGGCCTTATAGTTCCACCAGTAGATTTCTTCACCAATTGGTAGTATAAATTGATAGATGTTTTCAATGGTATGATTATTTTTTTTGCTCCATTTAATTTCTTTAAGCTTGTCGCGAGTCTTTAAAGTGACATGGCACGGTAAGATGACATCTTCATTCACTTTTACAATGACAAATAAGGGGGAACTCAGTTCAAAATAGTCTGGAAAAAATAGATAGAATTATTTTTTCAGTAATATTTAACAGCCTAATGCTGTAGCATTTCACATTTGAGGCAGAATGTCTGTCAAAATAGCTCTGTATATAATTCATTAGCTTTGTCATTCTAAATAACTGCTTATAAAACATTAGAAAATGAGTATCGTGTCTGAATCACAGGACAAGTAATCCTTCCATAATGAAAATTTAAGAGAGAGAGAGGGGGGGGGGGAAGGAAGGAAGGAAGGAAGGAAGGAAGGAAGGAAGGAAGGAAGGAAGGAAGGAAGGAAGGAGACAAAGGAGAGGAGAAAGAATAATTGTCACTTAAGTAGGAAAAAGTTCCAAACAGAAGATATATATATCTAAAATTTTAGAATGAGAACAAATATTTTTGAAAGCAGCATTTTCTGAATAATGGCAACCCTACATATACATCATAGTTTTTCCCTTTGCCAGTATTGGAAAGTGAATTGAGACCAATGACAAATCAAGCTTTCATCTACTGCAAAGCAATAGGATCATAGAAGTCCTAGTTGATGACAATCTACATATAAATTTCTCTATTAGAAAAGATCATATTATTGGAGGTTTTCTTCCTATTTTAGCTGATAATGGTATCAACAACTGTACCAATAGGGATTATGATACTCATTTTAGATTTCATTCTGTATTTCTAAATATCTATTTATAGAAAACCTGAGGGAAATTTTATGATAAAAGAAGAGTGTTTATTTTTTTGTCACATAATATATTAAATACTATATTATAGTAATTTTTGTACAATATAATATCCACAATTATCTAAGGTGAAAGTTCTAAGGAAATTCTTTTAGGATGGAACTTTATCCAAACAGTATCGCAAAATCTCAAATATTTCTTCAAAAAGCAAGCATAAAATGGTGCATTCCCAAATGCTACGTTTCCTTGATGTAGTTTGTTTGCTGAATAATTAAGTAATGTTTATGTTTTTCCCCTCATAGTTTGAAAAAAAATTTTTAGAATATAATATGTAACAACTGGTTGTTTCCCCAATTTTAGAAGATATTGTTTTTAGAAAAATAGCCACAATTTCAAATGGAATTACTTAAACACATTTTAAGGGTTATGTGTTATTTAAAGGAAGTGATGGGAATATTGTTAGAATGGGAGAGCTGAATCCCAGATACTGTTTGGGGATTTGTGACCTCCAAACTTCTCTAGTTTGAAACTAGCAAGCAGATCAATTGTGTAGATTGCTGAAAACTTCACCAGGGAACAGAAATTGGGATTTTTCAAAGCTGAGATCCCTTCACAGTGAGACCATAATTCAATTACCAGTAATCTTAATTTGATTTTATTAAAATCTACACAGTACCTCTTGAACTTTCAATATGAAGACGTATTTGGGTCTGATCAGCCCAGTTAGTTGAGTTAACAATGCAACTGTAATTTCCTTTGTCAGACACCTGGGTGTTTTTCAGCTTTAAGGAGAGATCTCCAGTTTTCAATCCTTCTTTGGAAAAGATGGCTCTGGCTTTATAGTCCTGCCAATAGATTTCCTCACCAATAGCTGGTATAAATTTATAGATGTCCTCAAGAGTATGATTGATTATTTTGCTCCATTTAATTTCTTTAACTTTTGCTAGTGTCTTCAAATTGGCATGACATGGTAAGATGACATCTTCACCCTCAATTCCAGTGACCAATGAGAGGGACCCCAATACAAAATTGTCTGGGAAAAAATATTACAATTATTTTTTTTTTCTTAAATACCTAACAAGCTACAGTAGCAGCACTTCACATTTGACAGAATATTTGTCAAAATATCTCTGTAAAATTCTTTAGCTTTGTCTCTGTAAATAATTTTGCATATAAGACATTAGAAAATGAGCATGGTGCCTGAATCATAGGACAGGAACATTTCAAAGTTTATTTTTGGGCAAAAGGCTCTGACTTTGCTAATTGCTAACTATTATGTTTTCCCCTCTATAATGGATCTTTGAGATTAGAAAAAGAAAGAAAGTGAGTAGCAACATAAAAGTTATAAATAGGACACCCTATAAAATATTGTAAAATGTGATTATTGAATAAGGGTTGTTTGGAACCTCTATTCTAGTTCCAAATCAATTATTGAATTTCTTCATATTTTACCTGCTATAGGAATCAGTGATAGGATTATGATGCAGAAGTAATCCAGAATAAGATGGAATATATCTTTACTTCTCTGCGGTGTCATATTTTTTTAGCAGTTCTAATCTGTAACAGACATAATTCAAAATAAATAATTTTAGTATTTCGTACTTACACTTTTCTAAATAGAAACCCATGCAGTTAAAACCATATTATTTTGGCTCACTGTATAAAATTTCAAACACAAATACCATCTGTTTTTCTTATGCAACATCTCAGAAACCCATTTTCTTTTATTTTTTTGATGTCATCATTTCATTTCATTTCTACACCATTTCTCCACCTTCTTGTGAATTATCTTGTAGGTTGTGAATTTAGCAATAGCAAAAGCACTTAGATTTATATACTGCTTCACAGTGCTTTACAGCCCTCTCTAAGCAGTTTACAGAGTCAGCATATTGCCCCCAACAATCTGGGTCCTCATTTTATCGACCTCGGAAGGATGGAAGGCTGAGTCAATCTTGAGCCAGTGAGAATCGAACTGCCAAACTGCTGGCAGCTGGAAGTCAGCATAAGTAGCCTGCAGCATTATATTCTAACAATTGTGCCACCATTTAGATGCAAATTGATCTGATTCATATTTTCTAACATAAAATGCAGATTGCAGAATACATATGCAGACAGAAATATAAATAAATTCATACAACTATAAATAAATAAGTTTAAATACCATTTAGATTGAAATATAATTACACACACACACACACACACACACACACATATACACAGTGTGTGTCAGCAATTACTTTCATGTCTACGTCATTTCATAGGCATTGAGTGATTGTTTGCATGGAAAATCCCAATTCTCAAAAATTTGCTTTGGTTACAGATAGGTAGAATAATCTATCATGCAGAAGGGCTTTGTAAAAAAAATAAGTAGATATTCTACATTTCGGATTTGGACTGTTTTGGAAGGCAAGCATCCTGAGATGGTATGAGGAAAATAAGTAGCTTACAATATAAAGAAAGGGGTGACTGAAACAAATAATGCATATTTTATAGCTTTAATTAGAAGTGATACATTTCAGATGGTTTCATCTGAAGTAAAAACCTAATGCTGTTTGGGGAAAAAGTAAATTTATTTTCCTTTTTTCTATTAGGAATCGGAAACTCTTTCACATTGTACTGAATCATGCTGAAAAGTTCCTTGTTTTTCCCCTTTCCATCCCAAACTTTAATCATAATTTTATTAACTGTGTATATGTGTGTGTATGTAATGCATTATAAACTGCTGTAGAACTAATGGAAAACAATCAAATATATTTATTTATAATGGATATTTATAAATTTACTACTTTTGAGAACCTTGGAGATATTTGTGTGAGGATATGGTATTTTGTATCAATAACTCTCCTTTGGTTTAATGATATTGTTTCTCTCTTGTAAGAAATTAGTTCCCCTCAATTTTTAGTACTTGCCCCAATACAAAATGTGCCAAATGGCTCTTGACATTCTGAAGGTCCAAGAAGCTGCTTAGCCTAACTTAGCCCTGGTTCTTCATTTAAAAAAAAAGGCATGTGATAATGTCAGATATTATTCCAGTTTTTGAGATAAAATCAGAAATATAAAAAAGCATCTCCCCACTCCATTTTTTTAATTTTTTTAGACATTATATAAGATATACTCTGTTTCCCTGAAAATAAGACCTCCCTAGATAATAAGCCCAATCAGGCTTTTGAACACATGCACTAAAATAAGCCCTCCCTGAAAATAAGCCCTCCTCGAAAATATTTAAATACATGCGCAGCCGGTCCCACCATTTCCTCTATTAAGGGTTAGGGAGACAGAGATGAAAATCAGGTAAAACAGCAAGAAGAGCCCCATCTTGCTCCACATGCCCCCAAATAATAAGCCTCCCTGAAAATAAGGCCAAGTGCTTATTTCAGGATTCAAAAAAATATAAGAGAGGGACTTATTTTGGGGAAAACATGATATCAAACACCCACATAACCAGCCTAATGATGAGTTTTAATCTTTTCAAATTCAGTTGATTAAAGCTATTTAATGATATATAACTGTTAGTTTTATGGCATTTTAAAATCCCAATTTTTCTTTCTTATTTTTATGGTACTTTTTTAATACCATAAATGTATACATTTATCTCTTATAAATGGTACTAAATTAATGGTTTCTCATATAGTTTCCATACTATTTGTTGTAGAAAACATCAACTAAGTAAATCTGAAAGTTTCAAATCAAATTGATTTCAACTGAGCAAATTTAGGCATATGTTAAACATTTTTCTTGAATACAGCAGAATTACAAATGATTTATCTTGGCTAAAATACATTTTTTATGAATTTTCAATTTTCAAAAAATATTAAATTAAGGACTTTTTCATTAAAGAATCCTAACAAATAATCCATAAGGTATTCCATCATTTATGTAACTGAACAATTTAAAGTCTGTATTCATTATTATATTGCTACTATTTGTGTACTGCACCCATTCTTTTTCATATAATTTTGAAAACAAACAAGGAATTAATAGAGCAGTTTGTTTAATTTATTAAACTACAACTATTGATGTATAACTATGCAAAATTTACCCTCACTGTTGAAAACTCTGCTCATTTTTTTTAAAAATTATACCTTTTTAAAAAGGCAAGAAATAACATACCTTTTCATGGAAGAAAGCTGAAAACCCAGATTATGACTATAAGAAATGAATTTGATCTTTGTATCCTCTTTATTTCAAGAAGCCTAAGACACAAATGAGAGAAACAACTGCACTGTGGCAAGATTAATAAGAGAAATGAGTTACACATTAACTGGTTTATTATAATCAAAATATGTAGTCTGTATACATATATGTTCCTGTACAAGTGTCTTGTTTGCCTAAACTCTTTGCTCTCTTTTTAGGGGCTCAACAGTTTTACTGTCTTCATTTCCTTAGAACACCTAAGAAGTAAATCTACAACAGCAGTCTTTGAACTTTTTCAAACTGTGGATCTCATGTGTTTAAAAAAATCCTTAATCCCCACTGCTTGTTTTTCAGGTACATATAGAGATGCACGGTCATGTTTACAAAACCCGTGAAGGTTTTCAAATCTCTCTTGAGCTGAAATTTGCATCATTAAGTTCAGGGAAATCTGATGTATTTCATCAGTTTGAGAAGCATGGATCAGATTGGATTTGTTCCAAATGCAGATCAAATTAAATCACCATTCATCATTGGGTGCAGAATTAGTAACATAAATATAACTTAATTAGCCCTTACTTAATAAATGTTAAAGTTGATGGATTCTATTAGGTTTTCTTACTTCGTATGCTGTCCAGAAGTTTAAAAAAGAGAGTATCTGAAACTCTGATGTGGCCACAAATTTGCTGACTCTGTGGCTAGTGAAAAAAATGTTACTGTTTTCCTTTTGTTGCATTCCTTCAAGAATCCGAGGGAAATTTGAAAGTGTTATGGTATTCCTCATTTAGCAACTGCCTTGTTTTGTGACCATTCACAGTTATGACGATGATGAAAAAGTAACTTTACGGTTAATTCTTTGCTGTATAGCAATGGAAAGCTGAAATATAATCATTAGCCCAGTCATGGTTTCACTCAAGGACTGATTCACTTAACAACCAGGTTGCCTGTATCAGTTATGGTTGCCAAAAAAGGACTATCTGTGTAAGTAGGGAAAAAACCAACAAATATATTGAATGAGAAAAAAAAGTTGACCAAATTGAGAATGAAACCAATAAAAATCAAAAGGATGTAAAAGGTTAACTCCCTGAGACACACCTAACCTAGTTCCAAATACTGATTCTAAATACATAATGTTAATACTGAATCAATATTGAATCAAGATAACGTGTTCAGTAAAAAAAAGAGTTTGTTGTTGCTGCTGCAAATTATCATTCTCCCATTTCTAAATGGGAAAAAAAAATAATCTAGATATCAGATGTCTATAGAATCATGCAGGTCATGGTTGCCCCAAATACGTTTTTTCCCCAAAAGGCAACTGGACTTTGTTTTTCCTTGGAGATGTTTCACTTTTCATCCAAGCTTCTTCAGTTCTGGCTGAACTGTGTAGTATGGAACGATTTATATTCCTCGCAGTCATTAGCACTCACTTCGAGGTTTAGATATCAGATATTTAGATTGTACTAGAAAATACTATAACATGGAAAAAGCTTGTTGCAATTGTAATCATTCTGAAATATCTATTAGATTCAAAGTTCTAGATTTTCCAAAATGAAAATCTTTACTTAATTCAAAACTATTTTTTGTTGTCAACACAAACTTATTGTTTAATCGCTGTCCTGGGTTTTACATGTCCCATTAAAACAAGGAAGTCTGAGGAAATGATATTGTAACTAATTATTTTTCAAATAAGCTTTTTTAGATAAACTGTATATGTAATAGTATCAGATGTGAAACCACTAGAAAGAACTTTAAGTAGACCCATAAATAGAAAATTCATTGCTATAAGATACTTAAAGAAATCTAAGGAGAAGAATGAATTGATAAGCATCAATGGAGAATTCTAATTTCATTGAAGTGTATCTAGTAATATATGGCATGAATTAATTAGGAAGTTAATTTTACTTACGAAATAAGGGGGCAAAATCATGTGGTCCAAAGGTGGTTTATCAACCTCAGAGGACTTCCGGTTGGTGCCGCGGGAAACCAGACAGGGAAATAGCGGGCTCTCCGGAACCCCACAAAAACCCCGTCTCCCAAGCCCCCGCCAACAGGTCTTCGGACCTCCCCTGTCCTGTAGGGACAGGGGGCATGGAGAGGGACCCCTCAATCGGCCGAGAGGAATGGGCAGGTTCCTCGGAGCCGGAGGCTTGTCCTCTGCTCTGGCGGCGGCAAAGTGGCAGCCATGGTGGCTGCCCTGAAACCGCGGCAACTGGGACACAAGAATGCGCAGGAGGAGAGGAGGAGAAGCAGAGAACAGAGCCGGGAGTTTGTTTGCCGGGTGAGTTACCATCATCCCAGGCGGGAACTGCCCATGGACTCTGTTAAGATGAGTCTTTGCCCCAGCCTTAACAGCGGCTGTGAACTATTGGGGCATAAAGGCAAAAGACCTGTTGGAGAACAACATGAAATAATGATTTTTTGGAAATGGCTGCATTACAGTGTTGGATATAGTTTTTTTTTTCTTTGTATGGAAAAATGAGATTGGACTATGTTAGAGAGAGAGGAAGGAGAAGAGGAAATAACTATGCTTTCAAAAATAAAGAAAAAAAACACGGAGGCAGAGAAAATGGCTGCTAATTGGCAAGTGAAAGTGTGAACTTCAGACGGCCTACTTGTTACATAAAGGGAGAAACTTTGTTACTTGTTTCTTTAAACTTGATTAATTTGGGGGACAGGAGAAAAAGACTCAGATTAAGAGAGCCTGATTCTGGATAAACAAATTTGTTTATTGGAGGATATATTGAAGATCAGAAGAAAGAAATTAAATGGAACAATGGAAACTGAACTAACAGACATGGTAATAAGAGAAGGGTGCGGCAGCACAAAAAGGACATGATGATACCATATATGGAATAGCCCAGAACTATTTTTTTTAAAAAAAAAAAATTTGATGGTATTAAAATGGAGAAGAAATATATTTGGACAGACTGGAAAAAGGAATATTGGAACATATTATGTAACAAGACAACAAATTATTATATTTTGATTTAAACAGATATAATAGTTTTTAGGTGGATGAATAGAGTTAGGAGACATTTCTTTTTCTTCTTATTATACCATCTCTCTCTATTTCCTTTTTCTATCTTTTCATTTGTTTTTGTTTTTCCTCTTTAAATTTTTTTTAATCTACTTGATTTTTTCTTTCTTTTTTTTTGTTTTGATATATTTCTATCCTCTTCCCTTTTCTTAGTTTTTTTTCACTATTATTGCTGTATTATGATTATTGTCACCATTTTAAGATAATTACATTATTATTGTCACTACCTGTTTTCTATAATTATTATTACTTTTATATAAACATATAAATAACTTGATTAAGAAATGTTTGAAGGAAGAAGCATCTGTTTTGGATGTTCTAATGCCTTTTTGAATTTTAAATCTTTAACAAGTAATATTTACAGATTTAATAATTTGGAAGAAAATGTTTTTTTCTGTTAAGGTGTTGGATGTTAAAAGAATTATTCATAGATTTAATAAGCATAAAAAAATTAATTTAAAATGGTTTAAAATGATGTTTGTATTGAAATATGAAATAAGCAAGTAACAGGATAAAATTTAGGAGAAAATAAGAGATAAGATATTTGTTGAAATGTATTTTTTTTAAAATTAGCAAAAGATACGGAGGAAAATAGATTGAAAATACCATTGGTGATACACTTTGAAGTAATTTGAAGCTAAATAATTGAATAAGAGATCTTGGAGCGGAGGAAAATATAAAGCAAGATTCTGGTGATCAGTGAAAGAAAAGCTGAGACCCAGTCTTACAAATAGGGTAGGAGTGGAGGAAAGCATCATACTGGAGAACAGTTAATGCAAACTGGGAACCAGTTAAAAATAAAAATAGGAGCTAGGAGCAGAGGAAATATGCGCTGGAAAGCAGTTAAATCAAAGCTGTGAACCCGCCAAAATACAGTTAAGAGTGGAGGAAAGTATACGCTGGCTAACAGTTAAAGCAAAACTGTAAACTAGCAAAAAATAAAAAGGCAGGCGTGGAGAAGACTATACCTGGGGATCAATGGAAATAAAGTTGTGAACCAGTTATAAATAGGGGTAGGAGTGGAGGAAAGCATTGCTGGAAGGCAACTATCTGAGTTGTGAACCAGTTTTACATTAGATTTAGGAGGAGTAAAGGAGAAGGTTGGTATGCAGTTAAAACTATACTGTGAACCAGCCAAAATAATTAAGGTAAGGTGTGGAGAAAGTATTGCTGGAAAGCAGCTGATTAAGATGCAAACCAGCTTAAAAATAAACCTAGGAGGAAGTGGAAGAGACATTATTGGAGAATAGTAATTGAACTGTGAACCAGTTAAATAAATGGAGAAAGGAATATTGAAAATTATAACTGGGAAATAGATATTTAAACCATGAATCAGTTAAACAACTGGTCTAATAGAATTTGAGAATAAATTTGAAATATTAAGGTAAAATATTTTGGAAATAATAAAATATAGAGAGAAATGTTGATTTATTTCAAAATGATTTTAAGAGAGGGGGAAAATATTTTTTGTCAAGAATTGGATATCTGTTGTCATTTAAGAGAGATAAAAGATAGTTTTGAGGCAATGGGTTTTAGGATTGAGGAATATATATGAAATATTAATTGTTAAAATGATAAAGATTTAGAACAGTGTTTATTGTTTAGAATTTTGGGTGTTATAGTAGAATGATAAATGTTTAGAATAAGAATTTTGTCTTTTTTTATTTTTATTTTTTCTTTTTTTAAAGTTTTAAAATTTGGAACAAAATTGATTGAGGGAATGTGAATAATTATACTTATTTTAAGCCGGACCAAACCCCTGCTCTAAAAAGATGTATTTTATGTTTAATATTAAAAAAAATTTAAAAAAAATGGGGAAAAAAAGGTGGTTTATCAACCTCAAAATAATTGGGGGAAGAAGGCCAAGAAAAGAAGCTGGTTGTCTCCTATTGAAGATGTTAAATATTCCATAAAATGGAGTGGAAAAACAGATTTTTCCAGATACTTAAATACATTCCAGCCTTTCCAAGCTAACAATTTCCAGTTCTGAAGACAACCTGAAAATCAATGGCTGGTTTGTAGAAAAAATATTGAAGAAAGGGGAAGACATCCTCAATGTTTAATACCGATGTTGTGTTCTGTCCCCTTGATCTCACAATCAGCTCCTGGACAAAAGAACTTTGAAGGCCCTGGTGTTTAACTGCTGCTGGTGAATGCCAGGTCAGTTAATAAAAAGGCTCAATTTATTATTAAGCTCATTGTCTTGAAAGATGTCAACCTGCTTTCTCTGGGATTGACCTCAGGAGTTCTAGGGAGTTTTTGGTCACCATGGCAGCCATGGAACTATTTGAGACTCAGGACAGTGGCCACACTCCAGAGATGATCATGATGACAGTATATTTAACAGGTAAATTAGAAGAAGCATCTGTTCCCATTTCTGACTAAAAGAAATAGTCTATTTCTCTTTAAGATGATGATGTTCAGATGTATCAGCATAGTCAAAAGTCACTTACAATGTCTCTTGGTTACTCATGAAATTATTGCTGTAGTCAGGAGGTGGGGGGGGAGAGAAAAATTGAAATGGTACCTGTAACTCATTATAACAAATAGTTTTCCATCTGTGCAAGATTTCCAGTCTACAAAGTTTAGCATTTCAAATGACATCTTCAACTGTCGCTGTGGAAACTATTGTGCTTAAATGCATATTGTAGCATTCTCTGTGTCAATAACAAAATAGTGTGCACAGATTAAACACAACACTCAATTTCCCTGCATGAGTAAACTTGTTTCCTTTCTTATCCTACTAAGCATCAGTTAGGAGCTTTGCCACAGATAAAGTCACTTCAGGAATTCAAACAAGAGGAGATATTTAAATAGGTAAAATAATGGCTCAAAATTCTAAAAGCCACTACAATTAGCAATCCTATACAACAAAATAAAAATCTGTACCCAAAATAAAATATGCCTTTTCATATCAGGTACTGCTTTGCATATTTGGATGCTTATTATAGGGTATCCATTTAAGGTACAAACCACCACTTCTTTATTGGAATTGTTTCTAATGTTAAAAATGATTGCACTCCATTACACATACACACAAAAAGCCCTTTTAATACACACCATTCTAATATGGTACATAAGGGGGAAAGTTATGGATTAGGTGAATATTTATTTTGCAATGCAGGAACACGCAATAAATTTTTGTTTCATCTAAGGTGAAATGAGAATAGAGCTTTTGCTTCAATCTTCTATGCAAATAAAGAAATGACAACTGGAAACTAGCAACCAACTTTGGTATCATCAAAAAACTCTTAGTAAATAGTAGATGATGTCTGACTTAAGCAGGAGAATGCTCTTGACAGCTTGCAAGCAGAATGACAATGGCTGTTTCTGTACTGACACACTTGCTGGGGCTCTGTCTTTTTTGTAAGTATGATTAAGATTTCTAGAGTGTCCTTCTAAAGATTGAAGGAGTTCTGTATATATAAGAATACATCAGTATGTTTTTTTCCTCTGCTCAGTTCAAGCTTGTGGGCTTTTAAAAAGTTAGAAATGTTGGTATTAGTACTGAAGGAGCTTTTTAATGGCTATATCTCTCATTCCTCAGTCATTGCTGAATTCTCTTCTCAGATCTGTTATGAATTTTATTTAATATATTCCATATCTTTAGAAGTATGTAAATCATACCAAATTCAGTGTGGGTTACTCAAAGGAATGTGAGTTCAATCCCATCTTTTAAAATTTTCAGACTCTGCTGCATTAATGTTGCCATGGACAACCTGTCAAGAAAACCTTCTAAATGTCGGGAAGAAATTAACATATTTTAATCTGATAACAAGATGTATTTCTCTCTATATTGTTATGATGCGAGGCTAGTAATAGGAATGTAGAAACCTGCTATGTTTAACTTATTTTCTTTAAATATTATTTTTAATAAATGTATTCATTTTAAAATGAGTTAAGTATAAACAAATGCTTGATACTATTTTATTTACAATTTAATACCAATATTGTTTATATTAGCTATCTCACCTGAAAAGCCAAACCAATTGATTTAGTGTATTTATTCCCAGTTATGTGGAAAGTTCATATATATATATATATATATATATATATATATATATATTCACAGAAATCAAACTATTTGGATTTGAATTACAATTTAAGGCAGTCTAAGATTTATTTGAATTTTGATTGGTAGTAAAGAATGTGAATTATCTTACAGAGGTGCTTCTGAACAGAGATTCAAGAGACAGGATTTATTTAAATTGTATTAAAATATGATAGATTCAAACTACTCACAGAAGTACATAGCAATTGTTTGGTAAAAACTAAATGTACTGTATATTTAAAAACCTATTTGTGAATTCTAATTATGAATATTAGCCTTTCCTGGTAATAAATATTTTTTATATCATGTGTTCTATTCTAAAGGCATTCACCATACAAGACAAGAAAGCTGTAGTGCTTCAGGTGAGTATATTTCTTACTATAGGAAAGCTTGCTCTTATTTATGCAGATTTTCAATACTTTACAGTCTTTACATTCATATTTTAAATATAAAGCATATTGGCAAAGAGCTTCCACAGAGGCCTACAAAAACCAATGGAGAGTTCTAGGAGAGTAGTATTTTCTGCTGGGTGCTTTATTTATTTATTTATTCATCTATGTGGGAGAAGAGTATATTTTTTTACTTCTAGGTTGTACTGATTTTTGATATCAGGATATATTTCCAAAGATACTAATCTGGAACATGGTAGGAAAGAGAAGTGATTTCTCTCAACTTAAATCCAGTAAAAGTACTTCTCAGAAGCTACTAGAATCCAGAGTCTTCTCATCCAACTATCCTATTATTGAAATCAGGAGTTTTCCAGAAACACATACTGTAGGCTTTCACCACTGAGATTATATTCAATTTTAATCATACAAAAACAAAATATAATGAAATCCACAAGTTATTTTTTCTACACTCCAAATGATTTCCATTGTTTTGCTTGAAATGCAAATATATGCATTCAGCATCATTGAATTTTGATTCAAATATATAATGACTACAGTGCAATAGAGTAGACAAACAAACAAAATTTACCTTAATATATTCAGTTAATTTTGCTCTTTTTATATATATTTAATTTCTTCAGGTAATCTTACTTCACCTCAGGTATATCTGTGCGGTTCATCCTTTGATGAAGTTGTGGTTAATTGTCTGATATCTCAATTCTCAAAATTTTCCAAAGTAATTTTGTGTAAAGATGGGAAAGAAATGAAAAGGGGCGTTGGTCCTACCTGATACGCCCCTTCTCGTTGAGTGGAGACAGCAGCCAGACGTGGGTGGTGCTCATTGGACAGAGGTTGGACTGAGCCTGTAAAATCTTCTTAAATCCTTCCCCTGTTGCTAGAGCACCCAGTTTCTGCCGAAGGAGAAGGAAACAGACTCGGTGTGTAGAAAGAAAAACAGGAAAAACATCAAATGAGATAAAACCAACAACAGAATGACCAGACTGAAACAAACCCTGGGCAGGGCTGGCTGCTGTCTCCACTCAACGAGAAGGGGCGTATCAGGTAGGACCAACGCCCCTTCTCCCTTGAGGGTGGAGACAGCAGCCAGACGTGGGACATACCAAAGATCACTGTCCCATTTCACGGGCGGGAACAGTCTGGGCAGAAGACCCCTCCCAAGAGACAACACCCTGTAACACACGCCTCCCAAAGTCAGCCTCCACCGAGGCGAACTTATCTAGTTTATAATGTCTAATAAAGGGTGAAGGAGACGTCCAAGTTGCCGCCCTGCAGATCTCAACCAAAGAAGCCTTCGAGGTCCAAGCTGCCATGGTCGCAGCACTTCTGGTAGAGTGGGCTGTGACAGAAGCAGGAGGGGGCAACGACCGAAGTTCGTATGCTGTTGTGATCGTCACACGGATCCACTGCCCCACCATGGAAGAAGTCACTCATTGTCCTAAAGAAGACGGTAGAAAGGAAACAAACAATGATTCTGTCCGCCGAATATCAGCAGTCTTCCGGAGGTAAAGACTCAGTGCCCGGCGGACGTCCAACGTGTGTAAACAGCTCTCTACAGGACTGGAAGGAGAAGGATAGAAATCTGGTAAGACTAGTTCCTGCAAACGATGAAAAGGAGAGTTAATCTTAGTCACAAATGTCGGATCCAATCTGAGGACCACCCGATCCTCATGAAAAACACATAGATCATCTCTAATGGATAAGGCTGCAAGTTCCGAAATTCGACGCGCAGACGTAATCGCAACCAAAAAGGCCACCTTGCCAGACAATAAACGCAAGCTGACCGAATCAAGAGGCTCGTATGGTGACCCCATAAGGGAATCCAGCACGAGAGGAAGATCCCAAGAGGGATACCGATATAGAACCGGTGGGCAGAGATTAGTTGCACCTCGGAGAAAACGTCGAATCAGAGGTTGCTGAGACAACGAATGTATTGAGTTATACGTCAGGATGGAAGAAATTGCTGCAACCTGTCTTCTGAGGGTGTTAGGAGACAGCCCTTTGTCCAAACCAGATTGAAGGAAGCGAAGGATTTGTAAGACAGAAGCTCGAAGGGGCGAAAAACCTTGGGATGCACACCACGAGGAAAAGGATCGCCAAGTCGCCGAATAAATTCGTTCTGTCGAAGCTCGTCGGGAGGCCAGAATGGTATGGATCATGTCAGAAGGGATGTGGTCCTGCTGCATAGCTTCCCACTCAACCGCCACGCGGTCAGCTGAAGCCACTGAGGTTCCGGATGTAGAATCGACCCTTGGCTGAGGCAATCCGGAGAACACGGAATCCTCCAAGGAGGAGACACTGACAGATGCATGAGGTCTGCAAACCAAGATCTCCTCGGCCAATGAGGAGCCACCAGAATAATCTCCGCCTGTTCCAGCAGTAGCTTCCGAATCACCCGTGGGATGAGGGGAATTGGAGGAAAGGCGTACAGCAGGCCTTGCGGCCAAGGGGAGCGCAGGGCATCCACAGCTTCCGCTTGATGGGAAGGGAAGCGGGAGAAGAAACGAGGTAACTGGTTGTTCTGAGGCGAAGCAAACAGGTCTATTTGCGGACTTCTGAAATGAGCCGCTATCCCCCGGAATAGGAGCGGGTGGAGGCTCCATTCTCCGTGGTCCAAGTGCTGGCGGCTCAGCCAGTCCGCTGTCACATTCGAGACACCCGATATATGGTCCGCCTTCAAGGAGGCCAGATGCCTCTCTGCCCAAAGACCTAGTCTCTTTGCTTCCCGCATCAGCGAGATTGACCTGGTACCGCCTTGGCGATTGACGTGCGCCTTGGCCGAGTTGTTGTCGGTCAAAATCAGCACATGTTCCCCGGACAG